GACGGCGCCGCGTCGTACGCGCGGTTCGACGTCGCGGTCGACGAGGCCGCGCGGCTCGCGCTCGGCGCCGCCGGCCCCGGCATCTTGAGCGACACGCTCGCGAGCCGGCGCCTGCGGCTGCCCCTGTCCTTCGGCGGCGGCGGCCTGCGGTCGGTCTTCGCGACCGTGCCCGCAGCCTTCTGCGGTCGCCTCTTCGCCGTCGCGTCGAAGCTCAGCGCGATCGCCCCGAAGCCCACCGCCGCGGCCTTCGACGGCGGCGAGACCGGCGACGGCTTCCTCGCGGCGCCCGCGCGCTGGCGCTCTCTGCTCGCCGGCCCGTCGCGCCTCGCCTCTGAGCTCAAGTCCGCGTGGCTGAAGCTCACGAGCGAGAGCGCGCACGCGCGTCTCGCGGCGTCCAACGCCGGCGAGGAGCCGCCGAACCCGGGCTTGCTCGACGCGCCCGTCGAGCGCGCCGGGCTCAAGGTCACCGTCGACGAGGGCCAGTCCGAGCCGTCGTACCTCGAGGCCGGAGCGCAGGCGGCGCTCAGCAAGGAGCGCGAGAAGGCCGCCGTGCGCGAGCTGCGGATTGACGCTCGGAAGGTCAAGGACGACGGCACGCCGCGCGCCGCGTCGTTCTTCTGCGTCGACCGCTTCTCGTCGGCTTTTCTCTCCACGATCCCCGTCGAACGCCGCGTCTTCTCCGCGCCCGAGTGGGGCGAGGCGAACGCGTGCTACTTCGGCACGCCGAGCCCCCTCTGCGCGCCGCTCATCGGCCGCACGCTGCCCGGCGGCGCGAAGCTCGACGCGTACGGCGCGAAGCTCAGCACCGAGCACTCGGTCCTCAACCTCGAGTCGCGACGCACGGACTACCACAACGCGGTGCTCGCCCAGATCCACGACTCGGCGCGGCAGGCCGGGCTCCCGGCCCAGCGCGAGCCGCGGGGCTTGCTCTTCTCCACGGGCCTCACGGCCGCGGGCCGCGCGCGGCTGGCTTCGGAGCGCGACGCGGCCGTCATGCTCGGCGACGCGCGTGACGCCACCGCCGGCGACGGCGCGGGCGTCAACCGCGCGGCGCTCGTGCCCTTCTCCAACGTCGAACGGCGCGTCAAGAACGTGACGCCGGACCTCGCCGTCGAGCCCCTCGACAAGGTCCGCCGCATCTTCGACGTGAAAACGCTTGCCTGGTCCGCCGCCGACTCGAACTACTACTCCACCGCGGCGTCCGCGCGGAGAGGCGCGTCGCCCGTGGACAAGCGGGCGTCCTACGTCGACAACGAATACAAGGCGCACGCGAAGCAGATCGACGTTGAGATCAACGGCGTCTCCGACGGCCCGATGCTCCGCGCGCTGAGCTCCCTCGGCGGCTGCGTCGGCCTCGTCTTCGGCCAGTTTTCCGAGGCCTCCAAGGACGTCTCGTCCCTGCTCGCGGACGTCGCGACCGCGCTCTCCGAGTCGCGTTGGATCTCCATGGGCTGCGCGTGCCCCGACCAGGCGAAAGCCCTGCTCAGCAACGAGCTCCACCGCGAGTGGGGCACCACCGCCGCGAAGTACCGCGCGCGCTACCTGATCTCCGGCCTCAAGTTCGTCGACGGCACCTGGACGTCCAAGGCCCGCGCCCTCTCCCACCGACTCGAAGACGACGCGCGCCGCCTCGCGGACCGCGCCGCCCTCGCCACCCTCACGACCAACCTCCGCTGCGACGGCTAGGGGGCGGCCTCCGGCCGCCACCTGGCTCGGCTCGCCAAGGTACCCCACGAACCCCCCTGGATAAGCCCCCCTAGATCGTGTGAATGCGAAGGATCTGTGCCCAGACTGGCAGAACCGCGAGGCCTCGCCCAAAAAAGTGCAGATGGCCGAGGCCTCGGCGTGCGACGAGCTCTACGCCCTCGGCCGCGACGAGGAGGCGCGCGGCGACGTCGCCGCGGCCGCGGACCTCTACGCGCGCGCCGCCCGGGGGTCGGGCACGACCGTCGCCCTGCGCCTGGCGCGGAAGCGCCTCCCGGAGACGGTGCGCCTCGTGCCCGGCTCCCTCGACGCGGCGCTCGCGCTCGCGCGGCTCCACCACGTCGGCCGCCGGGGCGAGCGCGACGACG